ATTGGTCTGGATATTGATGATGGTGTGTGTTTGAGTGAGAATTTTCCATTGGGGGATGGTTTACATATGAGTTGGTCTCCTCCTCCACCTGGTGGAGCCAGTGAGTGCAGCTCTGGCAGCATGGCGGTGATGGAGACCGGGAAGTTCCAAGAGTGACCTAAATGCCATGAGCCAAGCAAAGAGTCTGAAGGAATCGCAGAGTTTTCAATAGTAGTCTGATCAAACCTGTTACACAATGGGCCATCTGAAAGCCAGTTAGAGTTCCAGAATGAGGTTGAGAATCCATCTCCAATTTTTGTGTGGACTAGTTTCTGAAGTGCACGCCTGAGCTTCAACAGGCTTCTCCAGTTGTAACTTGTAAGAGCACTTTTGAGGTATCTTCAATTCCTAGAGGCATCTGTTCTTGATATGGTGGTCCTTGATCCATAACACCCAGCACCTGTTGGTGTTGGATTTTTGACTCAAATTTTGTGTACAAAAAATTAGTTTCCTTTTTCGTTTTGGAAGGTTAAAATTTGTAAAGGAAAGTGTATCCCATTATATTTCTATTTTAGTGTTTTGATTATTATGGTAACTTCTTGTAAGCAAGTTGAGGAATACTTGTCCAATAAGAAATGGGGTTTGAAAACTCTATAAATAGAGATGGGTATGAGAGGTTTAGAGAGGGAAAAAAAAAAAAAAAAAAGATGTAAGGGGTTTAAGGGTGAGTGTTGTGAGGAGAGGGGAAAATGTATGTAATTCCCGAATGTATACATGTAGCCTTCAAAGAGATAATGAGTGAGTGAGTGGGGTTTTGACATGTGGTTGTATATACTCTTCCTTGATTCATAATAGTGAAATCTCTCTCTTCCATGGACGTAACCCTAGAGTTGAGTGAACCATATAAAATATTGTGTTGTGCGTGGATGTGTATGATTCTTATCTCCATATATGCTTGTGTTGATGTGATGTAATAATACTTCCGTTGTGTATGATGAATGGGGATTTAACTCTCAATAATAGTAGACCGTTAAGTGGGTTGGAGGGAGTTAATTATTCTCAACAATTGGTTCTATCAGAGGTAATGTTCCACAAATGCTTTAGCATAGAGGAACTATTAAGAAGCTTAACATATATTAGGGATTCCCAGCCCACCCTCTGCCTTAGGCCTGCAAACACTAAGCCATGCTACTTTAGCTTTTTTGTTGTTGAGGCCATTACCTAACCAAAGGAAGTTCCTGCATTCGCTGTTGATGTCATTGATGATAGACTTAGGAAGGATAAACATGTTAGCCCAATACAATTGAGTGCTGATAAGAATGGAATTTATAAGTTGGATCCTCCCTGCATAGGAGATGGATTTGCTTGTCCATGCCCAACCCTGCCAGTGATTTTGTCAACCAATGCTCTACAGTCACTGGCCCTAAGCCTAGTAGTGATTAGTGGTACCCCAAGGTACTTGATTGGGAGGGATCCGGCTGTTATTCCAAGGAAATTTGAGATGAGCTGCTAGGAATTGGTGCCGTTTCTTACTTTCCATATACATAAACATACGACGGTGTTGAGAATTTTTATGTCTGTGCATTAAAGGTCAATGATAAATATGGACTAGAGGTTAATGTAATGGTGAAGTAAAGTAGTTTTTGAAATACCCAAACCAACATACATCTTTTGCTTGCACATAGCTAGCCTGCTGATTTTAACATAAGAAATAAAAAATCTTTGAGTTTTACAAGTAGTATATAGTGTGTATGTACATGTGGTATAGATAAATTAAAAATAAAATAAAAAATTATGCTGTTTTAAAAGAGAGAGCACAGAGAAATTGGTCAATGAGGTATGGTGATGGTTTGAATCAAACTTGGTGGAAAAAATTAAAACAATATTCATACGCACTATATACTATATGTACATACGCACTATATACTACTTGTATAATTAAATTGTATCTTTTCAAATTCAACATTATAGTAGTATTAGAAAAGGGTTTGAATGTGCAATTGCCCCCTGATTCTGTTTTTTTTTTTTTTGGGTTGAATGGTAAGCTTGTATAACAGAAAAAAAAGTAATGTACAATGCCCACTTTGGGCCACAATAGGCCATAACAGATCCGAGAAAAACAATAAAAAGACCAAGGATTGAAACAATCAAATCCAACCAAAAAGTAACTAGAAGAAGAGACAAGAAGAAGAGTACATATCCAACCCAACCTATGTCAATCAACAATGAACCAAGATTGTCCCTGGGCAAGGGAGCAACCATGCAAGAATAGTTGCTGCAACTCTTCCGTGATTTTTACTACCTTTTGATGTCACTACCACATTTCAACTTTATGGATGCAAATCTGGCTCGGATACAACTCTTGATGAGGCAAACAATGTGGTGAGCAGTAGAGGATTTGTTTCTGAATGCTCTTGAATTCCTTTTCGGTCAAATAAAATAAATTGCAACAGAGAGGAGCATCTTATGCGTGATAAAATGTGGATTAGTCCATGTGGAAGAGCGCCATTCAATGAGCTCATTCCAGCTTTGTGGCAAGATGTAGAACCCAACAGCATGTTGGATGAACTCCCAAACAATGCAACTGTTGAAATGCAACTGGAATTGAAATTAGACAATCAGCTTTGACCCGAGTGTTCAGTTGACAAATTTCCACATTGGCGAGATTAAGCTGAGAAGAAATTGGTCCATTTGATAGCCAATAGTCCAACCATAAACTTGTATCCATCCCATTCCCAATCTCATGCCTTATTGGACCTCTAGCCATACCTCTTAATTTAAGAAGCCCTCTCCGAAAGTCAGAACTGAGTGCAGTTGGCTTCACAGTCCACATGCTCTTAGTCTTGATTAGATACTTGTAGGTCCATGCAACCCAAATGCAATTGGCCCCTGTTACCTGCATTTTTTATAAAAAAAAGGAATTATAAAAGAAAAAAATTAATCAAAATTGACAAATAGGGGACAATTTGCTCCAAATTTTGAAAATACAAGGTTCTGTAGTAGGAGTATTTTTTATACATTTTATATATAACGAGAGAATATTTTACATTTTTTTACACTTAACCGTGTTAAAAAAAAAATGGTAAACAATTTAATGGAGAACTCAAATGAATATATTCTCTCTTAATATGTAAAATATAAATAATGACATAGCTATTAGCTCATTTACGAGTACCATTCAAAAACAGTTCTTAAAATCAAATTTACCCATAATAAAAGCCAAAAGGGCCATAGCAGACTCAAACACAGCAGACCCCTTGGGCCCGTAGGCAATACTCTTGAACTCGAACTTCCCTAACTGGGCAAAGATTGAAACTGATAAATATGAAAGAGGAGGAGTGCTAGTGCGACCGTCACTATCACTCTTTAATGTCAAAACAAGACGTGGAAGTTATGGTAGAGATTTATGAAAACCTTAAAACATATCTATATACAGGGACGAACATAGAGAAGTTTGTGAGTGAGAGCGGTTTTTAACAAAAAAATTGTTGGGGGAGCATTAGTAGGATAATAGCGTTCAACTGCTTTTTAGTAAGCAGGTGTTACAAGTGAAACTTGTCCTACATAAGGGGCGGAGTCAAGAATTTGTTTCAGGGGCGCCGTATTAAAGACGATAAATTACCTTAAGAGTCCTTTTAGCAATAAATTTAACTTGTAATTTATCGTCTTTAAATTTAACTTGCAATAATTTTGAAAAAAGGAATGCAATTTTTTTTTTAAGAGAATATGTGTAATAAAAATTAATATTTTCTAGAAAAAAAATTATTTTAGGGGGGTATTTTGAAAACTTTTATAAATTATAGGTCAATTTGTAATTAAAACTAATGGGCCATCATTCCCCGGGGCCTATGCTGGCTCCGCCCCTGCCTACATCGGATTTTGATGGGGTTGAAGTTTGTATAAATTGGTAGATATGCAGACTATCCATTAGTTTGAGCTTTCCGATAAATGGGCAAGCGCCCACCCCTTATAGAAGAGAAGAACATACCCATTTTTAATTAAATCTAATGGGATAAAAATCAGCCTTCTTTTCACTATTTTAAAAAACTTGTGATGATCGAGTTCTATGCCATACTATGCGACATTGTCAATAGTAAAAAATATATATATTAAAAATAAATAAAATAAACACGATAGAGAAATCCTAAGAGTCGAATTGTTAGAAAAATATTGAGAACTCAGCTGCCTCTTAAAGGTCAAGCCAAAGTCACTCCTACTGAGGCGGGCAAGAACGTTGATTGGTTGATTCTCTTAATTTTTTCCGGCCCCATAATGGAGATAGGATAGAGAAAGAGAAAGAGAGAATGGATGAGAGACGAGAGAGAAGATTTCCGGTGAAGGTTTTTTAAATCATAAATTCCGGCAGAATAGAGATAGCGAGAGATGGAGAGAGCGTGGATTGATCTTTTTTTGGGAATTTTTATTACATTAATAGACTACTATTGAAAGAACTGCACTAAGGCTCGGACTTCGTGCAAGTTCGAATCTTCTCGGGTATGACTAATTCTTTAGGACTTATGATCACCGTCATAGTCAAAGTTTTATCGTGTGGAGGGATTATTTTATACGAATCTCATGCAGGATTGGACATCCCGATTATCCACAAAAAAAAAACAAAAAACAAAAAAACAAATATATATATATATATATATATATATATATATATATACTGGACAGAATATACAATTAAACCACCTGGCTAACAGCAAATATAGCCAATTACAACCCAAAGGCTTAAAAACATAATTTCAAACAAAAGCCACCAAGAGCCACAAGTATAAAAAATGATCCAACACCATTTATAGCAAGAGTCATAAAAGGAAGGTGACAAAAGGGAAGACTGAAAAACAAATCTAATCCCAAGATTTTAAAAACAAATATCCAATAGAATAACCTAAATTCTGTGCATCCATATATAGGAGGTAAATGCATATATATAACGGAAGGTAGTTTTGGGCTTCAAATCAGAGTTAAGAAAAACATATTCCTCTTAGCTATCTCAACCTATTCCGTATACAATCATGTCGACCATTCTTGCACTTTTATTTCAGTGGTTTTCTTTACTTTCTCTAATCTCCTCAATCATTAATGTGTCTGCACAATTATATAAAATGCCGAGGCTCGACCATTATTTCCGAGGAGAACGTGGAAGAGAATTCCAAACACAAGCAGAAGCAAAAATCCCAAAAGACTTTAAAACCTTTTTCTACCCCCAAACGCTTGATCACTTCAATTACCAGCCTGAGAGCTATACCACTTTCAATCAAAAATATATGATAAATTCCAAATACTGGGGTGGTGCGAAGAAAAACGCGCCAATCTTCGTTTATCTTGGTCTGGAGGAGCCATTGACTGGTGAAACCTTCGGATATAGTGGGTTTCTAATTGAGAATGCCCCTCGTTTTAAAGCTCTCTTAATCTATATAGAGGTAGTGTACTAAATCCAAGACCTCCAGCTTTGTATGTATTTTTTCACTGTTTTAGAGTATGTATTTATGTTGAACTGCATGCATGTTTGTTTGCTCATATATATAGCATCGGTTCTACGGAAAATCAGTTCCATTTGGATCAGCTGAAAAAGCAATGAAGAATGCTACTCTTCGTGGTTATTTCAATTCAGCTCAAGCATTAGCAGATTATGCAGAGGTAATCTTATACCTCAAGAAGAAATTTTCTGCTCAATACTCTCCTGTTATCGTCTTCGGAGGCTCCTACGGAGGAAGTAAGCAACCAAGCAACTACATATAACATCAATTAACCATTAATTTTCCAATTATATATAATATAACTAAGATATACTCCGTTTAATTTTTATCTTAATTAATTCCCATGCATACTTAAAAAATTTCAGTGCTTGCAACATGGTTTCGGTTAAAGTATCCCCACATCGCCATGGGAGCTCTAGCTTCATCAGCACCTATCCTTTCCTTCCATAGCATCTATCCACAAGGCCTCGTCGGCAGCTATTCTTCTGGTGTCACAAAGGATTTCAAGGTACAAATAAATTAATTAATTTAACTATTACTTAATTATTTTTCCTTCCAAATTAATTTGAGTCATTCAAGCACGGGTGTTAACATTGCAGGATACCAGTAAGAGTTGCTACCAGACTATAAAAAATTCATGGTCCGAAATTGATAAAGTCGCTTCTCAGCCAAATGGCCTTTCAATCCTTAGCCAAAAATTCAAGACTTGCAAGTAAAAGAATAATTACTCTTCTTTATATATATATATATATATATATATATATGTATGTTTCTTCTAATTAATTATGTTACTTGTATAATTTAATTTTCTTGACAAATTAAAACTGAATGATTCTCAAATGAATTAATTGGTTCGATCAGGCCCTTAACCAGTTCAGAATTTCTGAAGAACGCTTTAGAAGGAAAGTATAACAATGCAGCTCAATATAATAGTCCACCAAAATATCCAGTTACTAAGATATGTAACGCCATTGATGGAGCACCTAGAGGAACAGATATTCTTGGCCGAATATTTGCCGGTTTCGTTGCCATTGAAGGCAAAGAATCATGCTATAAGATGGAGCCAGATTCTAGACCAGATACCTTTCCAAAAAAAAATTTTCCTTCCAAAAACAATCCTAATGAACCAGATGGTTGGCGCTGGCAAGTAAGTTGCATATAAAGAGAGAGTTAATTATCACAATATATTATATAAAACTGTAAATTTGATCTTTGAATTAGTTTTCTTAAATAAAAATAAAAATAAAAATAAAAAAACTTTTCAATAATTCTAGCTAAAACATAAAAACTGGCTTTGGAAACTTATAAAATAAATTTATCTGAAAACATGCAATTTGTTTAACTAAATTTTCAAAAACTATCAATCGAGCAAATAATTTTTCATACTATTTTTTTATTATTATTTTCAGAAAATTAAACTAAATAGATCTTTAAATTTTCTTCATTTGAATTATTGGTTGGTGTATTTAGTCATGCAGTGAATTGGTGGATCCGGTCGATAATCGTGTGAATGACGATAATATGCTCCAAAGAGTGGATAATAACGATATAAGTAACTTCACTGAAGGGTGCACTAAGGATTTCGGCGTTCCACCAAGGCCTTATTGGGCCACAACCTATTTCGGAGGCAATGTATGTACTTTTGTTTTTTTTTCAGCTTTTTTTTTTTTTTTTAATGCGTTCCGATAATTGTTATTATTCATTTTAGTTATACACTCCCTCCGCCCCTCATTAATAGTCCATTTTTCACTTTTTACATGTCCTAAATTAGTTGTCCTCTTTGAAAAGTCAAAACATCTTTTCTTTATATTTTCATCATTGTCTTTATTTTTTTTAAAAATTTCAAACTTTGTAACTATATATATTTAAATTAAAAATGATAACTTGGTAATTTTAAAAGGGACAATGTATTAATTGCATGTCCCCTTAAAAAGTTATAAAATGAAGAATGGATCATTAAAAAGGGACGGATGTAGTAGTAATTAATAACTTTTAGAAGTTACAAAGTGCTTTTCAATGGCTCATTGTAGGATATAAGATTGGTTCTTAAAAGGTTTGGTAGCAACATCCTTTTCTCTAATGGACTGCAAGATCCTTATAGTCTTACCAGGTATATATCCATCTGAAAAATTCTTTTTTTTTTTTTTCAATCCTTTGTAAATAGATAAAATAAATTAAATTGTCTTAGTGTAGTTGATCTAATATGTTTGTTTTCTCCTCTAATCGCAGTGTATTGGAGGACATCTCAGACACCATTCTTACCGTCAATACAGATAAGGGTAGGTAGACCCTATCAATCAGGCCAAACAATTTATATATAGACTCCTGGTAGCTTAGCTTAGCTTACAATAAAAAGGCGTAATACAAAAATAAGACGAGATGATATACATCTACGTGTGTGTATATATATATATATATATATATATTTCGAGCAACCTTAACTATTATATCAAAAAAATATATTTTATATATATATAGTTGATGCAGGATAATATGTGACATTGGTAAGTTAACCAAAATCTTTTTACAAAAACATATGCGGTAAAAAAATAAAATAAAATCATCCCAACTTTCACCATTTTTTTTGTACTCTCTATAAAATTTTCTTGAATTTTTATTTTTGTACGAAACACCTTATTCTATTCCAAATATATGTCAACACCCTCCTGCCATGTGTCAACTGTTTCAATCCTGACACAAAATTGATATTTTTGGACCTGAAATCTTTATAATACCTTTTTTTATTGATCAAAATGACCTAGGATCATTTTTAAATCCATGAATTGCCAGTAAATGAATCACCATATTTCGTGTTTTATATAAATACAACCCTAATCTTATTTTATTTTATTTTTGTCATAAAGGGTTCTTTTGTCATTAATTTTACAACTATTGTTATTTTATTTTTTATTTTTTGAGAGGTAAAATGGTAAATTAGAATCGTGTTAACAACATTTTTAACTTCCATAAATTGCAACTATAAATTAGTTAAGGGGTTAGTTGCATCACTAGGGATATTTACAGAGTCGTGAATGTCAATGGGGGAGGGGTTTGCAGTTAGCACTAGAATAGATGTGTGTGTATATATACACATGAAAATTTACCAAATTTATTCCTAAATTAAAATAGTATTAATGTTTCAAGAGATTTACAATATCTACTTTAATTTGCAGGAGGCCATGGGATAGATTTAACAGCATCAAACCCAAGTACTGATCCAGATTGGTTGGTCAAGCAACGACAGAGAGAGGTGGAGGCTATTGAAGGATGGATCACAAAGTACTTCGCTGATCTTTCATCCATGAAGAAAAAATAATAATTGTCGAGCATTTTAGTATTAATATATAAGGATGTACTCGAAGTCATTATAGGAATTAAATTATGGTTGTGTACAGCAAAATTATTTACCGTGTGTATCTAACTAATTTTTATCCCAAAATCATTACAAGGTTTATATATGATATTTCTCATACTTTTGCAGAGCATTTTATTACGTGGTTGTCTTCCTTTTTCTTCTGTTTCCTATTTTTTCCTTCAAAAATTAAATTATCTTTGGTCAAGTGACTAGTTCATAAGTTGGTGTTGCAGCCTACCTAATAGTTGGAAGAATCTGGGTACGGCATCGGGGTATTATAGAACTTCTCAAATAACTGGTTGCCGTATTTGATCAAATCCTCATCAACAACTAAATAATAGTTTTACTGTCACTTTTTATACAAAGTTGTATTTTTTTTCATTTTTTTTTTCTTTTGTGAAAATTAAGATGGTATTAAAGGGGAATAAAAGTAGTACATAAGAGTCATAGTTAGCCCAGGCTAATCACGAGATAAAAACAGCCCAAAAGGAACAACAGGCCCAAGGAGGAGCAACCCAACCCAGGCAGAGAAATGGAAAAGTTGTTGCTGGCACCACATTCATACAGAGATGACCATGAAAGAAATTCCTCAATCTTTTCAATCCGGTGGCTCTGGAGGAGGCCGTAAAATAGAGGCCGGAAGCTCCCATTCCACAATTAGTCTCCTAATATGGATTGAGTCATTGAAAAATTACGATGGCAGCTTCAAACGGACTGGTTCCAGAGTGAGATGAAGGAGGGAGTATAAAGAGATGGTAAATCAATATATTAAATAGAATGGAAAATTGTATAAATTAAGTAGGGTGCACACAGTCTGGTTTTGAGGATTTTTTGAACCAAATCACTCAGGTTCCAAAAAATTTTAAACTGAACCAGACCATTTGAGCTATAGAACCGAACCAACCCAACCCGTGTAAAAATGGTTTGGTTCGGTTCGGTTCCACATTTGTAGTTGAATTTTATTTACCTATTTTTCTCTTGAATTGTACATACAACAAAAATAAAAATAAAAGCATTCACATTCACAAATCCAAGACTAAAATTGAGATAGAAAAAGAGAGGGTAAAATGGATGAAATAGACCCAAAAACTAAACCCTATAAATTAAAATAAGGTTGAATCTTGCTGAAACTGAAAAGGATGACAAATCCGTGGTTGAAAACTAAAAAACTTGATTCGTTATCGTTGTTGGTTGTGCTTAAGGCGCAAACACGTTGTGAGGCTCAAAGATCTGTGAACTGAAAGTGAGAGAGAAAGGAAGAGAGTATGAGAAATGATGTCAGCGACGGCAACGATAAAAGATCGATGGCAATGACAAAACTTCGAAGGTTGCATGAGAGAGATTGATCAACAACTGGATCTTGTGGCAATGAGAACTAAGAAGTGAATGAGACGGCGTGAGCAAAGAGATAGTAGAGGAATGTTGGTAAGCACCCAAAAATCAAAACAATGGGAGAAAAAAAGCAAAATATATATATCCGATAGTGATAAATGTTGGCTCGTGTTTGATCGTTATATCGAAATCCCTTACAAAGTTACGAGTAGTATATAGGTATATAGCTATATATATATATATATACATTTAATATAACACATATATACACATATTATAACAGTTTGGTCTAGGCTGGTCCGGTCTTGTAGGATCCTAATCTGGGACTAAACCAAAAATTCACGGTTCCATTATTTTGAAACCGTGACGGGACCTGTAACGACCCACTCCACCACATGGTATGATATTGTCCGCTTTGGGCCTGAGCCCGCACGGTTTTGCTCTTGGGCTTCACCCCAAAAGGCCTCATACCAATTGGAGGTGACACACTTACATATAAGTACTTCACCTTTCCTCTACCCAGGCGATGTGGGACTTGTGCACCCGTAGCTCGCCAGTGTGGTAGCCTGACAGTGTCTCTCGCACCCGCCCACGGCACACCCGCCCACAGGGTTATCACAATCCACCCCCCTTGGAGGCCCGACGTCCCCGTCGGCACACTTCCGGCTGGGTCAGGCTCTGATACCATTTGTAACGACCCACTCCACCACATGGTATGATATTGTCCGCTTTGGGCCTGAGCCCGCACGGTTTTGCTCTTGGGCTTCACCCCAAAAGGCCTCATACCAATTGGAGGTGACACACTTACATATAAGTACTTCACCTTTCCTCTACCCAGGCGATGTGGGACTTGTGCACCCGTAGCTCGCCAGTGTGGTAGCCTGACAGTGTCTCTCGCACCCGCCCACGCCACACCCGCCCACAGGGTTATCACAGGACCAAACCGTTGTGGAACCAGCCCAGACCGCCCGATTCGATCCAGTCCAGTTTGGTTTTTTGGATTGACAGTTTTTTTGCACACCAAGAGTATAAAGGAGGCCTAAGCCCAAAGGCAGGCAAACAAAACAAGTGCAAAGCCTAGCAAGCCCGGAGGCAGAAATAAAACAAGTCTAAAAAGAGAACATTGTCCAATGCACCAACTGCCATTTTAAAAACAGTTGGTGTAAAATATAATTTTTGTAATTGGCAAATTTCGATGTCAAAACAAATCTCATCGAGTTGTAATTTCAAGTTACCATATCAAGATCGAGATCAACTATGGAATTGGAAGGTTGTTCGAAGATGACATACTGAGATCATCGAAACAGGAAAGAACAATACTTTTAGGAAATTGCTTCCCACTTAGAACACTATAGAAGGAAACCATTTTGTCCTTTGGGAACTAGTTCCACATCTGGCTAGCGGTACCACTGCTGATACAGTTTAAGGTAACTTTGTCCTATTCTGTTTCAAACTTCTTAGTTGGTTTAGAATACTACCAAAAGTCCTATGCACAAAATTTCCATTATTTTATAAAGGATTAGGTCTTTGAAAGTTCTATATAGACCCTGATATTCATCTAGGTTTGTATGGCTTTTACATTACAATTTCATATTTCATAAAAGCCTTAGAAATAAATTTTTGCAAAAAATCAAAGTTGATTTCTTTGTTATTCTTTCTAAAACACACACATAAACACAAGAGTGAGTTAACAGTATTGTTCAAATCCTGATCGTGATCAAAGTCTTGCATCTACAACGATCAGAGAAAAGCATATCTACTTCTACATCGAATTCAAATATTAAAGAATAGAAGTAAAAGCAATCACACTTTGAAATAGTCAAAGCATTCGAGCAATGTTGTTTGATATACCTGCGACCCTTCTACAGAGATCAAAAGTAAGCCTAAGGTCAAGTGTTATTGGACGGGATGTCGCAAAGTCAGAGGATGGTTAGCGATTGGTGTTTGGTAGAAGAATAAGGTGTGAGCCTGAGTCAAAGTTCAGTGTACTTTGTTTCAAATATAGTGGATCGGTTTACTTTGGACTACACAATCCACGAGGTTTTTCCCATGCAAACAATTGGTCTATTTTACCAATTAGGGTTCCTCGCTAAAAATCCCAGTGTCATCTCTAACTCTATTACTTTGCTTTATTTTTCTAAAAATACAAAACTTTCTAAATCTTCTTCTGCTTAAAACTCACAGTTAGGGTTGTAGACAAAACCTAATGGCTCTGCAATGGCTCTAGAGCTTTGCAATCCTTAGAGTAATATGTAATGTTTTGTTCTTAGTCTTTCCTCCTCTTCTCTACATATTTTAAAGTAATATTTGATGAGTTTATAGGCAACGAGACTTTGACACGTTTACCCTGTTTTCCTTTGGACTTGCCTTGAGGCCAAGGACACAATTCCAATCTGAACATGAAAGGCGGATTGATGTATTGTTCGAAAAATCCACTTGCCAGCTTCTGGGTTATATTTTTGAGCCGATATTACCACCAACACCCGCACGGGGAGGAAGCATTGACTTAATTAGGACAATGTCTACCATATCGCCTTTCTATAAGGCTAGTTTTAACTATTTTAACTTTAACTTTGGTGAGAGAAATCCTCAGAGTAGGATTGTTAAAAAAAATCTTAAAATCTTTACCCTTTACAGTTGAAGTCAAAGTCACCCCTACTGAGGAGAGCAAGAATGTTGATTCAATAAACAGCACTGATTCTCTTAAATTTTTTAGTTAATCTCACAAATCTAAAATTTGACTTTAATATTTACAAAGGTTGATGAAAACAAGTCAAAATGAGTCTAATGAAGTGATTACACTTGCAGCAAAGCCAAAAAGTCTTATAGTTTTTTTAGTGTGGTTAAAGTGCTGAATTAACAAAGAAAATCGCCAAAACATAGAACAATTCATATACTCAATTCTTCACACAGTCGATCTCCATGCAAGTTTTGGTGCTTCCATACAGTTTGATGAGCACTGAAAAGTGCGCATTTAAACCCATTAAGCTTAAGCATTCTAGTACCTTTATCTATCTTACTTTGTCGTTTTAGATTTATTACGTGTTATTTATATTTTCAGGCACTAATCCCAAAATTGAGCTAACTCAGCCAAATAAAAGCTTAATTGAAGCAATCCTGAGATAAACCAAAGGAGGGAGCAAAGTGGAAAAAGAAAGGAGCAAAAAGGAATCAAGTTGTGCAGCTGAAAAGTTCGATCGATCCAACTTAGAGTTCGATCGATTGAACATCTATGATCGATCACAGTACTTCTCGATAGATCCAACCTTGGCCTTTGCTGAAATTCCAAGTTCGATGGATCGAACATCACCTTTGATCGATCGAACCCTATTTTGTCCTATTCAAATTATTGATCTTATCCACAGCTGTACGCCTACCAACCACTTTTGTCTTTTTCCCCATAAATATCTTGAAAATATCTCAGCCTTGTCCTTATCCGGAGGAGTCAGACCGCTTCGATCGATCCAAGATGCAGTTCGATCGATCGAACCCATTTTCGATCGATCCAAGTTAAGGTTCGATCGATCGAACTTCCTCCAGCGAGAAAAAGTTAAAGTCCAGCTCATTTATTCCGTCCTTCATCCAATGATTGGAGAATATGTCTTGCACGACCACAGCTCATCATGGGG